AAATGTAAGACTTGTCAATCCAAGACAATCATTCAATGACTGGTCAACTTTTTTTTTACTTTTCTGTGTTATAAATCTATAACTGAAACAATTTTTATACAATTCTAACTAATGAAAAATCAAGATAAATCATTGAGTGAAACATTCTAATATTCTTTAATACAGAGCTTCGCATTAGTTTTTGTTTTCAATAGACATCATTTGATCTTTTATATTTTTTCGCAATTCATCATTTTGTTCTCTTTAAGAAGCCTTCGATTTAAGATCATTTTATCGCTTTTGAAAAATATGTATTTCTATCTACTTTTCTTCAATTGTTTGAATTTTTGAAATTGTTAATTTGACGTTCACGAATACCACTCTTCTGACAGGTAATTCATAAAATAAAAAATCCATCGAGACTTTATCGATAGGATAAGAATAAAAAAAAATATTGACTTCAAATGTGTATGGTCTCAAAAAATCATTAAATTGCAAATTTCTACTGGATGACATTAGACGTATTCTATGCTTCTGATTATCAACGATTTCTATTTGAAAAAGAAAATTCAACATTCATTTTTTTTTCTTTTCCAAGAGCTTGTATATCATTTGTGTTAAAATAAATTCAATTGATCGAGAAACAAAAACTAAACTAATTATAGAAATTTTTTTCATAAATGACAAAGACATGTGCAATTGTTGTTTTTGTTTTTTTTAATAGACTCGAAAAATCTAATATCGAAGAATCTGAAAAGACAAGTTTGATTTTCCCATCAGAACTAACATCTTCATTATTTACATCTCTACGAACTACATTTTTCAAACAAACTTCGCTCATCAATGATGGATGATAAAACTCTCTCGACTATAACTGATAGTTTGACAAGGAAACAAAAGATGATTTGTCGAGTGAGTATTATTGTTATTGTGTTGGTTATTTGTTCTTTTGCTATTATTCTTCCACCTGTATTCTGGCGTGTATTTCGCCAAAATTCATCAAGTTGTCAGTCATGTTTCCAATAAGAATTGATAAATAGATCTTTAGTTTGACATTTGTCTTTTTATTTTTATTGAAGCTTCCAGTGTAACGAATTTGTTCGTATCTGCTTGCTCATCAGAAACATGTATTGGTAAAGAGACACAATATCGCACATCGATTATTACTGCTTTATATCCTTTTGATGGAAATATGAATGATCTTAGTGGATATTTTCTTGGAATCGCTTATGGTTTACCTATACCAGGATATGCTACTGCAACGAATTATATCCGTCAATCAATTGATTTGGATCCAACCAATCAACAATATATTCGTATCTCATATGTCAACTTGAACCAACAAAGTTTTACTATTCAATTATGGTTTCTTATACGATCTTCTGCAAGTTTAGTTGATTTTGGTATATTTAGTCAATGTGGTTCAGATTTAATTTGTTTGTCCATAAGTATACATAATTTTCGTGTAACATTATCGTTCGATTCGTTACGAAGTAATGTAAGTACATTGCTTGGTGGATCAATACTTTCAAGAAGTTACTGGTATCATTTAACTATTGTTTATAATGCTGTACTTCGTCAACAATTGATTTATATTAATGGAAAAATTGATGCTATTGCGAATGATGTCACGCCATATCAAGGAACATCGTTTGGTGCTACTACCTATATTGGATTGAGCTCTTCAATCAATTATCCATTATCATATTCTCATGGGTAAGGAAAAAACTATCTCTTGCTGAAATTTCAACTAAAATATTTTTGTCTTCGATATTCAGCTAGAAGATCAATTTCAAATTAACAACCGATTGACAGAATTAAATTATCTCTTCTTTTGTTTTTAAGGACGCTTTTACTGCAATAATGTTTTATACTAAAAATCATTACAAAGTTCTAAAAATGAAGTATTTGAAGATGAGTGTAGAAAATAAGATTATTAAATGCGTTTTCTTTTTGTATTGAATGTCATCTAGATGAAGTTGTTTTCAGAAAGTACACCACAATGTTTTGATAAAAGCCAGTCTCTATGTCACTGTTTAGTTTATCATCATTCTTTTTTCTGTATTATCCATTGACAATAAATAGATCAGTTTTTTTTTTATCAAACTTTAAGAAAGAAGTTGTCTCTCAGTACTCGTAGTTAAATATATTTAATCGGCGTTCAAAAAGAGAAAGATAAGTCCGTTTTCGTTCTATAACTTCGTCTGAATATATTCAAGCTTGATTCACGCATGACAATTTCCATTAGAGACAGTGTTTCAAGTATGTATGCACCAGTATTTTTTTTTGGTTAAAAAAGAGTTTTCTTTGGCAAAAACAACGGTTTTTTTAAAAAATTTGCTCAAAGATTTTTGGGACCGAGTAATTCGAATCTATCGATGGTTTGTCCAAATTTTTGAGTTGATTTTTTTGGTTTGAGAAAGAACTTTTGTTGGAAAAACGACGATTTTTTTTATATTAAACTTACTGAAATCATAGGAATATGATATCTCTTGAGTACGAAAACTCACCTTAAAAATTTCCAAAAAAGCCACCTATATATTCAAATTCTTCAATCTCGAAAATCTTTGATCAAACTTTTTACTGTGCAAAGCACTATATAATAGTCGATCGCGAGTTTTTTCTTTCTCGATATCAAAATCGTCAATTTTATGGCGCAACCATCTATAAAAATATCAACTATGTTTATTGTTTATCTTTAATTAAAAGTCAAATTAATTTTCGATTTGATTCGGATGTCATCATCATCATCATCATGTCCCATAGGCTTAGCTCCCGTTGGGGCTAACCATTTACGAGATCAGATTTTTCCACGCCTGCCGGTCTTGCGCAAGATGAAACAGATCTTGTCCACTGCGTTGACACCATTCGGTTATATCATCCAGCCACTCTCTGCATGGACGCCCCTGTCTAGATTTTCCATCCATTTTAGCAAAAACAACGTGTTTAATTAATCTAGTGTCGTCCATTCTACAGATGTGACCAAATAACCTTAACTTTCTTCTTTTGATAGTATCTATTATCGTCTCTTCTTTTGATATCCTTTTCCTAATATCCTCGTTTCGTATCATGTCCTGCCAATTAACTTTTAGAATCCGTCGGTAGCATTTCATTTCAAAAGCCAATAGTTTTTTCCTGTCTGCCTCTTTTAAAGTCCATGTCTCTGACGCGTATAGTAGGACACTGAAACGCATGTTGTTAAAATTCTGAGTTTGTTTTCAATCTTCAGTTTTTTACTGTTCCAGATATGTTTCAATGAGACCAATGCACCTGTCGCTTTTCCTATTCTCCTTTTGATTTCCTC